ACTTACCACCATACCCTTTGTAACCTCAGGTGGATACTAATTGCGCGGTTCACGTATATTTAACCTTCAACTTCCAAATTATAAATAATGGAAGTATTTACGCAATCATTATCCACTTTATTTGTTAGTGTATAGTGAGTCTGCATGTATGTATTTAGAAATAGACTTCCAGCTGTTTTGAAACTATAATAAGAATGAATCTTTTTGTTAAGATACTTCAAATCTTGATACTTTTTTAATTTAATTAATCAATTTGGACTATTTTGATTTAAGTAGTTTGAGTTGAAAATATTTTTGTCTGCGATCTTTATTAATTGAATTGATTTTTTAATCTAAAAGAAACGTTCGCTGTTTATTAGAGTAACAAGTGGTTGAGCCGCGTAATTTAACATTCTTCCTCAAGCATTTTAGTAATCAAATTACATTAAATAATATTCTAAATATTACAGTGTTACACGCTTCATATATGAATGAATACTAAACTAACAAGTTAACATGTACTAATTAAAACAAAAGCTTTAATTTTATGTTAACTTATTGTAAATATACATACACTATTATTATTCATTTTATCTTAATTGTAATATTATGATTATAATAATATTTTTACCTAAAAGTGACTATATACACTTTTCTATATACCTACACTAAGACATAGATTAGACTAAAACTAAGTCTAAGTAAAATTGATGCAACTTGCATTTTTTGGAGTAATTGTTAGCACCATAATTCCTCTCTAAATTCAAAATAATAATGAACTATAATTTAACAACTAAATTAAAAAACCAGCCGAATACCAGTTAACTGATTTTTTCAATTTATTACATCCTAAAGAACGTTAAGCTTCAAAATATCTTTATATTTTATAATTAAAACAATTAAAAAAAATAAGGCATCTCTAATAAAGATTGAAAACCGAAATTTTCTCAGTCGACTTGAATTTAAAAAGCGTGCTTACCTTTTGTTGTTCAATTCTAGTCTCGTTCAAACAATTGAAAGTTCTCGTAGACCGAGGGACGACTGAAGAGCCTCTCTTGGTTAATTAACCGCTTTGCGGATTACCTTTTGAAATAACAAAACATTTTTGTTCTATTTACCGATAAATTTCAACTCTAGGATTGTCACGAAAACCAAACAATCTGTAGCTCATATAACAAAACGATAGTTACTGCTTTAATTAAAACAATCAACGAAATATTAGAATCATCTTCACTTAACTTCAAGAGGAAAGTATTTTTTGAATGTAACGAATAAACTCAAAATGTACTGGACCAATTACAAAAATTATTTTGCCATTGGAAAGAAATGTTATCATTGAGTGACATTGGCTATGTATGGTACTAGAAAAAGAATCCGCACGGACGACATCACGAGCAAATGTTAGTCTTACTAATATTATAAATGCGAAAGTTTCTATTTGAAGATTTTGTAGCTTAAACGGCTGAACGGATCTCGATGAAATTTGGCATAGATGTAGAGGATAGTCTGGAAGATCACATAGGCTACTTACTTTTGTTTTTTTTTTAAATCCATGCGGACGGAGTCGCGGTCAAAATCTATTAAATAATAAAGCCTAACTGACCCATTACATGTTTTGTAATATTATTTAGAGGTAGTCAATGAAACAAATGTTTTCCATTTCAATTTTAGTCTTAGGAAAAATTGTTCTATATTTACACATGTCATTTATGTTCCCTCGGGTGAAACTAATTCCACATATTATGGGATTAAAAGGATCTTTTGTAAGCGTACTCCGACAAAGGTCGGATAAACATTAGTACAAAAGGATCCTCGAATCTCTTTGAAGTTACTCACTAAATCTAGATTATTTAGAGTCAGGAAATGTAGTCTAGAAGTGAAAGTAATTCCTATTAATCTAGTTTTAAGGAAAATTTGTATTTTAAAACTTCAAATGTTAAAAAATGCAAAGGTAAAAATGCTCTATTCAAATCAAAACCGATTTATGAAAACATAATTGGGATCAAGGTAGATTATTTGATCATTAAAATATTCCATTAACTTAGGATCAATCACCAAACAGAATGAAAAAATAATTGGTTTCGTTTGGATTTAAAAGAAAAATCCTAGTTAAAATCACTTTAATAATACGAGTTTTTTTATTAGAAAGACAATACAATACAATAACTTAAACATATTTTATTCTCCTGTCAAAATAAAATTATGGTTCTCTAGAAAATTTTATTTTAAAAGCTCCGCGTCGTAAGAGGATACATTATAAAAGCTGTACTTAACGCCTTCCAATTCCTTTCTTTTTATTATAACGAGCTTTTTCTTTCTTTAGGTTTACTACTTATTTTATGTTTTCGGTGTATTGTTACGGTATCAGTGATGTTATTTTTGATGGACTCTCAGACATTATCTGAACTTATAAAATTAATATATTTTAAAGAGATTCCTTATACGCACAAAAGGGTTAATCATTTATTTGTCATTGTGAATTTACTTCCTCGAGTTTGTACTTCCTATTACGAAAATTAACACGTTTACTGCGGCAAGTAAAATCATAATTCTTCATTTGGTACGGCGGCGGGTCACTTTGCGCTCCCAATCATAATTCAGCCAGTACGTGGCAGTTCTTTTTATACCCACCAGCACAAGGATAGATTAAATTGCTATAACTTTTTGTAAATATGATGTACTTTAGACAACTAAGATAATCGTTTCGCTATAACGAGAGGATCATAGTTTTTTTCTTCACGCAGAGAACGTGTTAACTACTAAATCCTAAAATTTGTTATGAACTTAGGACGTAGTCAGAGTTAAACATTACAGCAGTCATCAGATTAAAATGATTTATTATGTAAAACAAATATTGTTAGTCACATCTCTTGAGGTTTTAACTGGGTATAGGCGGGAACGGTCGGGGTCACGGAAATAGGTCAGTGCCAAAACAGCCTCCTACCCGCCGCTCACCGCTACCAGCCGCCGCCCGCCGCCTGGAGACCTGTTGAACAATTGTTTGCTCAACCGTGCTCACTAAATCGAGATGTAATCACTCAACATTACATATTTAGTATATTTTTATAATGTATACTGTTTATCTTAAAACATCTGCGTATTTGTTTGTTGTCTGCGCGGTTTGATTATTATTGTTTATAAATGTGTGCTGTAATTGAAAACTCGTCGATAGCATCAATTTCTAGCCTTCATCTTACATTTTACCCAAGTTAAAATAAATACAAATTGTTGCCAATTTATTACACAGACTCTGAAGTGTATTTTAATCTTTTTTAACTAAAATTTATAAAAAAAAAACCCTGCCCTGTGACTCGTAACTGTATTGCAAAAACGACTTTTACATACATATATATTCAATTTAAACTGAACACACCGTTTTGACAACACGTGTTCTTACGCCTGGGAGAATGTTGTACGTTTCCAGTGGGAGTAAGCGACTCCGCGCCGGCCAAGCGGCTATGACTAACCGCATAATAAATAATCTGGATAATTCACCGCTGCCAATGTATTCATCACACTGTAGCCAAAACAATCGATACCCTTGCACATAATTATAGGTTAAACATAAATTTAACCTTCGACGCAAATTGTACAAGTAGATACATAAATATATCCTTAAAATATCAAAACACAATCAATACTGTACTTCAGTGTGTTCTTTTTTTCGTAGCGGTGCATATTTTATTTTAGGCAGTAGTTTTTCCTTGCACCATTCATAAATCTAAATGTCAACCTCTTTGATTCAGAAAACTCCATTCTTCCTCATTTGTTCGTTTTTACGTTTTTCCGCATTTCCAAAGGAATTTTAGTCTTTACTTGTAGAAATAGTTGCAGCGCTTTACCCCATTGGTATACTTATTGGAAAATTACTAACAGCGGATTGTGTATTAACGTGTTATAACAGCCATGATGCGGCGCGGTTCCATGGCAATGATCGGTGGCGGAGAACCATTAATCGTGGTCGAAGAGAGCGGAGTTGAGGATACGGAATGCTCGTTGCGCTCGCTCGCGCCAACCCGCGATCTCTCCATAGACCAGGAGTCACCGCCAGATCCCTACCATTTGTCACCCTGGCGAGAGACTAGGAAACATTCCTTACCAACACCGGCATGCACGTCCGGCCCAACGGCTAGCCAGGTCAGTAGTCCAAGGAACAAACCAACAGAAGAGTAGCAGTGTAGTAAAGAAGTTGTCACATTAAAAAACACAACACAGATTACACTTATCTTTTTTTATGAATAATATAAAGACATTTCAAGTGTAATGCTAGATTTCGAAGTTAAAAGAATCCCTCCGACATATTTTGTATAATTTTAAACTGTTTGTAAATAACTAGTGAAAAATAAAAAAGATTTTTTAACTTTACTAATGTTTGGGAATGCTCAGTGTTATTGAAATAACTTTATTATAAGTAATTTAGCATTGTTATGCTTTAACTGATGATGTTAGCATTAATATTAAAAAAAAAACAGGTAAGGCGACTGTCAGAAAGAGGGGAGGGCGCCGCCCGGGAGGCAAGAGAAGCGGCCTTTTTAGCAACTCTAAGCCAAGCACCGCCGCAACCAGGAGGACGAAGGTATTGATATTTTTTTCTTAAAATTAACTACACTATTCACTTTATCGTTATCACCATGACTGTCATTTTCACTTAATCAGCTTAACTTTCTCAACCACCTTGAAAAAACCGTCGATTCATGTTCTGACGAGCGTACCTACAAGTGTCTACTTTTTAGTTCAAAATTGTCATGTTTTAACCTTTTCGTACTTATGAGCAAATTTCTCTCCATATTGCCATTTCAATTCAATCAGTGTATGTTATTTCTAAAACTAAAATATATTTCCAGACATTCCGTGGTGACGATATCGCGCGTGCCCCAAGCACTCTTCGGACGAGGTCGTAGGGAGTCGATCGCTGCGTTCCCCGCACTCGGTCGCCGCAGAGATTCCGGAGCTAAGAAATGTGAGTTGAAGTACTAAGGTTTTTTATGTAATACACAGGGAAACAACTTATAATGTATGAATTTGTTATGTTATTTAAATGACAAGTGATAATGAAGCATTATACTTCTTAGGTCCACCTGCTACTGACACGCTAGGCAGCACTCACAACTTGCAACTAGACATCATGGACGACATCGTGCAAGCTCGTAAAGTTCGAATGCGCCTGTGGAATACATCCAATGAACGAGTTTGTGAAGTACAGCCGCTAGACGAAAGGTCTCCAATAAGTGGATCTATTCGATATACAAATCGCGGCCGCCGACACTCAGATTTTGTCGGTGCACCACTTCCCCCGATTCCTGCTCGTCGTCGCGCCTCAGAGATGCCACCACCCATACCACCTCGCAGCGGGGTCGGCGTCGTCTGCACAGACACTGATCTCCATTTAATGCTGAACGCGCTCACTTCCTCCGCTACGGAGATAGACCGCTGTGGAAAACCGGAAAAACCTAGGCGACTCGCCGATATGCGATCTAGCAGTTTCGACGCTTCCACCCTTCGGGAAAAATCATCCGAATCAGGCACTACATGGTTTACACGACGCCATCAAACTTTGGCAACAAAGAAAAAGGAAAACGAACCTAAAAAACCAAAAGTGACATTCGCTCCGGATTCGAAACAAGCCCCTGGAGATGCTGCTGCTGTCGTCTGGGATAAACCGACGGGCTCCGTGGTGGATGCGAGCGCTCTGGGGAGCGCCATCGAGGTGTTTCTTAGGCGAAGTAGCGCGGCGGAACCCACGCCATCAACTTCTGGTGTAACTACGCCCAAACCAATTAAGAAAGTTGAAAAAGAAACCAAAAAGGGTACCGATAATAGATTGAAATCTCAAGAAATGCCTAGCACAAGCAGGCAGGGTTTGCAAATGGAGAGTGAGCACTGGGTTACCAACAGGCCAGAGGAAGACGACGCAGCGGAAGGTTGCGACGCTTCTATATGTTCGTCATTAAAAGACCTCTTCGTGTAGGCACTTCGGGTGCATTTTGAAATCTTATAAATATTAAATTAGTCGTCGAGTACATATTCGTCTCTCAATTGGCGAATGCAATCTACAACCGCGACCCGTTGTCGTCGGCCGTGTCGTATTTTATGTGCTCAGTGTACCTTATACTTTGTAAATCTTTCAATGTGATAGGACGCGTGCAGGCGCCGGCCGCACCGCGGCGACCCGCGACCGACGCACGCACGCAGGCAAATTATTTTTAGAGTAAATTCTATTTTCATTGTAAATTTTTTAATATTAGCGATCATGAAATTGACTTATTGTTAGATAGAAAATTGTAAGTATTCGTGATTGTCGGGCGTGCGTTTTCCAAGCCGAGCCTCGGCCGGCGTTCCCCCCGCGCGCCTGCCCCTCCCCGCCCTGCTCTGTCTCCTTGAAGAATCAGTGTCTCGTAATCCGATGTCAGTTACTCTAACGATTTAACTTTATCATATGGAAGAGGATTACAAAGAGACGTCGGGAGAAATGTACGCTTATTAGACGAAGTCGACTTCGGTCCTCTTTATCAATAAAAGTTTTTATCGATGTTATTATGCGTATTATTGGAACCTTTTATGAATGTGTACTTACAGGATATTTAATAAATCAACAATAGTACTAAAATAATTCGTTTTATTTATACTACTTATTTTTAAATACAAAAGACGGCGACTATACACCCAACATTGGTACTACCTATACCTACTTAATCCCTCAATGCCAATATTAGTCATTTGGTATAACAATTAGTATTTAAAACATTGCAAATTTCAACATATTCTTAAGTACATATTATTGTTAAAAGTTTACCACCTTCTAACCTATTTGAAACTTCTTTTGAAATTGGTCCTTCGAGTCGGAAGTGTATAAAAACTATAATACTTACTATAGTACTTTCTGTTTAAATAAAGTTTCACATGAAAACGTAATATTCAGCTAGCCAACTGAACATTTTGACATTAATTGATTCGATTACAAGTGCGATAGCATGAAATCACGTTAGCCTCATTCCACCGTTACTAATCGAATATCATCCACCAAATATCACATTAACTGTTAAATTTAATACAATATTATTACCTATGGAATTAATCACGCTCTGATAACTCTGCTCGCTTGCAAACATATATAAAAAACAAGTTACGAGTCAATGCTAATCATAACTTAGACAATAAATGATATTGAAAAATACACTACGTTGTAAAACTTTTAAATGTTTGTTAGATACGTTAAGTTTTTAATATGTACGTTTGTAATTGATATATTCAAAGATCAATTTCAAAAGATGAAAGACCGTAGAGTCCTAAATACACAAAGTTGTTAATAATGTTATTTAAAGCGGTAACCTATTCCTCTTAATATACGGTCTTTTCATCCCCTCCCTACAGTATTAATTACACGTTGTTAAATAGCGTTTTCATTACAACTTATAAGCGCTTTCACAAGACTGTATTAAAGAATTTAGTGGAAATTAAAATGTATCCCAGGCTATTTATCTCAGTAATAGTACAAATACGAAAATTTAGGTGTGGATGGATAGATTGTGGTTTGTTAGAGTTTGTAGCCTAATCGGCTGAACAGATCTCGATGAAATTTGGGATAGATATAGAGGTTAGTCCGAAAGAAAACACAGGCTACTTATTTTAAATTACACGTGAATTGAGTCGCATGCTAAAGCTAGTTTTGAAGTATTAAAAAAATACCTTTTTCATTACTTTTTTAGTTCTTTTAGAAAAATAAATATAAATTAGTGCATAAAGAAATGATGAATCTTAGCTTGTAAATGGGGGTAAGGGGGTTGTCTACCCTGACTTATTGCTGGAACATGCCGTCAGAGACCCGTTGACATTTAAAATTATGAATAAGCAAGTTGTTAATTGGATGTCTACTGTGAGAAATGACATTCTATTTTACAAATTCTTTTATTTAGCTTGAAACTTAAAAGTCATTTTAATTAAAAACAAGAGTCTTTAATTATGTGTATATTTATAACGGAATAAATAATTAATGGAAGGAATTAACTCTATGCTCTTAATAATGGTAAAGATTTTACTAAACTAATTTTAAAAGCACTTGTATGACTAAATAAAACTTAATAAAAGAATAAGACGAATTGAGATGAAAGCGATTCCTAACACTCAAAGCCAACTGACATCTAACAAGTCGACCATTATCACTGCTCCGGAAATTCGATTCACTTTGTGAGCTTTTATGTGAAGTCATTTACTTTAACCAACTTAATGTAACATTAGGATCGGGTTTCGATATCTGCTACATTTTCTTTACGGACTATGTATTCGTTGAGAATGGAAACCAAATAAAATTAACTATAAACCTTTATATCTTGGGAGCGCGCACACATTTAACTAAAATAGCACAACTGTTTACGAAAGTACACTACGGTACTCGATTTTTAGCTGAATTGGCTGCGAAACAATCGACAATCGCACAACTGTTGTGCGACAGTTTGGTTAAAGGTGTGCTCTCGCTCTTAGGTTCTGTCTTTGACATTTAATTTCTGTAATTAAAACGTTATTACCAATTTTCTTTACGACGGCAGCCAATGAGACTGTTAACGAGGTGTAAACGAAATCTAAATTTACATTTAATTAATAAATTAGTTAATCGAATAATACTAATTATAGTTATTAAAATAAACAAATAACGATCTGTGGTCTAGCGATTGAACATTGTTTTATTCCACCCGAGAAACTCATTATGTAAATTCTCTTCAAGTTAAATTCATTGCTTATTAACTTCTCATAGCTTATCCCTTAACCCTGTACTCATCGTCTTACCGCAACTTTGAATTGTAAATTCCCCTCATTGGAAAGGATTTCTTCAACAAAGTGCACCGCACTTGCTCAAAGTATTATATTAATCTCACTAATATTATAAATGCGAAAGTTTAGATGGATACATGTTTGTTAGAGTTTGTAGCATAAACAGCTCAACGGGTATAGATACAATTTTATCATAGATGTAGACGACAGTCTGAAAGAACATAAAGGCTACTTACTTTTGGTTTTTTTATAACACGCGGACGGAGTCTCGGGTGAAATCTAGTAATATAATACATGCTGGATTTAAAACATTGCCATTTTTAATGTGTCAAAAACGAGGTCTAGATTTCAAAACTTGAATGTGTTTTTAATTTGCTTTGACGGAAAAAGACTATTAAATAACATGTACGTAACTGAAGCCCGCTACAAACGCTCAAATCTAATAACTTTAAATGTACAGTTCAACTGATAGTTATTTTTTACCTACAGACTCACTGATCAGTTAAAACTGTCAGTACGGACCTGATGTAGCGGGCTTTGAGGAAAAAAATCAGTCACATTAAAATAAAATTAGCGTAAAATGTAATATAAAATTACATAATAGAGAAAGATAATTGAGCAAGTTGTTTGCAAAGCGCAGGGCGTCTGGCAGAACACGGCGGCGGCCGGCAGCTGGCAGGTGCGGTAATTAGTTAGCGCTTCGCATCTGCACTTACAATTAAATAAAAAAAAGCATCAGTTTACTTTTATATCTAGCTCACTTAGGTACATTGGTATATTAAAAACTAACGTTTCTAAAAGATGGAAAAATATTCTTAATTTTTTTTTATTTTAGTATGTAATAATTTTACAAATAAGATCGTGCGCACACCTGACACTATGCTATCGGACAATTGTTTTATCGCACTTTGATTCCTATGAGCTAATATAGAGGTGCGCACACTACTCGATTTTTAGTTGTATTGACAGTGGTAGTGCCCGCTTTAACATCTTAGCACTAATGGGCCGGCACGCCCGGTGTAATACCACAACCACACAGAAAACAGGCGTGAAATGGAAGCAATTCCGTGTTTCGTCTGATGAGTATGGTGCCGGAGGCCTAATTTAAGTCAATTTCTCTTTACCACCCTTTTATTTTAAGGAGAAGTTGGGAAGAGGAAGTGGATTTGACGGTGGAGGAGATGCATAGGAAGGGGAAATATTCTCTTTATGTGCGTCTCCTCCTCCGTCTTATAAGGGTAGGCAACGC